ATCTTTAAAGTTCATATATAAGAAAATTGAAGATGCGATTAAATCTATTTGCTTCTTCAAAAGCTGCTGATTTGAATACGCCACGAAAAAAAAGGTTTAATAAATCAAGGTTCAATTCAAGCTACTCAAATGGTCATTTTTATGCCTATGCTTTTAAATAAAGCCCTTTTCATCGTGACAAACCTTTTGTTAATAAAATTTTAGAAAAATTTAAAACTTGCCTCCTTATATGGCGTATATCATCTTATGTCCAACAGCCTTATTCAGCTTCCTCCAAAACACGAAGTCGATCGTCAGCCTAAAATTTCGGGAAACATGACTTGGCTGACCAAGTTTTCCAAGTATAAGAGCACTATTATTGTTAATAAGGGCGCTATTGTTGTTTTATACCTTTTCATAATGAACTTAAAATAACAGATGGCAAAACCAATAAAAATAGTTACATCTCGAATTTTCAGGTCATCTTGTCGAGACGCTAAGGAAATTCTGTTATTATTAACAATTAGAGCGAATCAACGAATATCTATCTATTTCAGTCTGTTCAAATCTATCTATTTATCTATTTCTGTTAAAATATATCTCTGTTCAAATCTCTTTCTCTTTTTCTCTCTCTCTCTTTTATATATATATATATATATATATATATATATATATATATATATATAAAATGGAGGGAGAAACGTTTTTTTGTAATAATGTGGATTTGTTTTAGTGCATATATTTTATTCATATTTTTGCTACACGTATTTGCGGTCTCGTGACCTTCTTCAGGGAAATAAAAGGAATATATTCTTAAAGGAATAAATTTTCCTTATGTTCTTTTAATGTTTCATTGTTCGTTTTCTGTATTTGTAATGAGCCTTGATCTCATTTCTAGTAGTGAGCCTTGATTCTAGTAGTGAGCCTTGATCTTATTTCTAGTAGTGAGCCTTGATCTTATTTCTAGTAGTGAGCCTTGATTCTAGTAGTGAGCCTTGATCTCATTTCTAGACTTCCTAGCAGCAGACCTAGCAACTGAATCACTATAATATTTCCACTTCATGTCAGTGAAAAACGTTAGCCCAACGACTCATTCTCTTTGTGTTAGCATTAGCCATGCTGATGGAAGGCAGATTGTGTTCTCTCAGACCGATTACTAGAGAGTGATTTTGTTTTGGCAACGTTGAAATAAAGAAGCCATTCCTCGCCCAAGTTAACAACAGATTGTAGATCAGTTGCCAATTTGACCTTATTGAAACGGTCAGACAGGATTAAATAATTGTATCATCAGCATATATGCTGAGTTGAGAACTGATGCTATCAGGAAGGTCTTTGAATAAAACTGGGAACAATGTAGGTCCAGAGACAGGGCCCTGGAAACGCCTGTATTAATGCAAAAAGATCTAGAATGGCCGTCCTAGAAAACTTTTATTTCGCGATTTGATAAGAAAGACAATAACTTAGTTCAGAAATACTATAAACTTTCAACTTGTAAAGAGGAACAATATGCCAACCGTGTCAAATGCCTTGTAGATATCCAAAGCAACAGCCCTAGATTTACCATTCTTATCTGAAGCTTGCTCAACTCTAAAGTTTATTTTTGCTAATTAGCCTCACGAACTTTTGATTGGAGCTTCCATTATAAGCCGTCTTCCAAGCTTTGAATCTACCGAATACATCTCTATCTATAAAAGGCAGGATGTGTGTGTGTGTGTGTGTGTAACGAATGCACGGCCGCAATTTTCGACGGATTTGCACCAAAATTTACCTGCACATGCTCCAAGTTAGCGGAAAGACCAAGACCGACTTTGCATTTCCCAACTCCCATCGATAGTGGAAATAATTTTTTCATGCTTCTACGGCAGTTTTCATGTAGTTTGCGGCCATTTTCTACTGGCCAGAGTGAGAGCCTATAGCTGGCTGCTACGAATAGGCAGGAAGATTCTATTGGCCAGCGTGAGAGACAACAGCTGACTGACACGCTAGCAGGCAAAAAAAAAAAAAAATCAATAGCTGCATTCGTCAAAAGTGGGAAAAAATCTGCATGGCAGTTTACTCCAATTGCCTCATTCGCTTGCTTAAACTCAACGTTGATTCTGATTCCGCAGAACTGGGTTGGGTGTGAAAAGTATTTGTTGTTAACATTCTTTTTTCATTCGGTTTTTCCAGTTACGAGTTCTTTTTTAAAGTTGATCGTTTTGTGTTCATTTTGTTTAGTTCTTTTTTCGTAACAGATTTAATGTTTAGTATAGAGCTTAGAAAAAATTCGCAAGACGTAAAGCATGTAGCAACATCAGCACGGCAAAGGGAACTCCTTTAAAGGCAAAGAAGGGCAAAAATATTTTAAGTCAAGTGATAGCGATTGCTGTATGATTGTACGATTTTTGAATCAAGCACGGGCAACGCCGGGCCATGCTGCTAGTCGATATATATGAAGTTCGTGTTTGGTTAGAACCCCAATGAGGAAACATTTCAAATCTCACCAGGAATACGACAAGGAGGAAATGAGACCTCTGGCCTATTCGTAGATAGTACCTTGTGCATTTACAAAAAAACAAATGCGATGAAATGGATACTTATCTTCTCAGCATTCTCTACTAAATACTAAACGAGTCTAGCAAGACAACAACCCGTCCCGAAGCCAATGTATTGATGATGAAGCGAGCTATGTCGAGGGTATAAGTATTCATAGCGGAGATAAGAATGATCTAGAACAGAAAATCAACATCCTTTATCAAGTACTATAAGAATTGGGGCTCAAGATAAACAATTCCTAATCATAGACTATGATCTGAAATTAGAATGAAAGCAGTGATGGCACCTACTCTGAATCCATCATAAAAATTCAGGATGTGGAATTAGTAAATACTAAACACTTCAGATACCTTGGTGCATGGATAACTTATAACAAATTTAGTATTGGAGAAACGAAATCGAATATAGAATAGGCTGTAACAGAGGTGGTTTCGCTCTACACTGCAAATTGCTACAGAACCGAAACATCAACCTGAAAACACGAGTCATGTTCTTAAATAAGCTTGATAGATGAAGTTTTATATATGGGTATCAGGCATGGCACCAAACTCGTTTAGAAATATCTAAATTGTCAGCTGATGGCAAATCGCTCTTTTAAGATCAATGGTTAAGAATTGTTTGAGCGAGTGAGACCTGAGACCTTGTCAAAGATCATCCCTCTTTGAGCATTGAGGACTGTCGTTACAGATTCACAAAACAAAGAACTATACCAAGTAACAGAAACCACATTATTTGAGGACTAAAACAACAGCATCTACTAAAATGGATATCACACGTAACTCGAAGAGAAAATAATGACATAATCATGATGTTAACATTCCACACGAATTCAAACAAAAGGTTAGGAAGGAAACCACCATCAGTACTGGAAAGATCGATAACAGCTACTGGACTTGAGAAACCTATTTTCCTGAAAAATTGTTTTTAGAGAAATGCTTTGTAAATTTCAACCGAAACCAGTACTTGTTGCTCAGTCAATGAATGCCAAATGTTTCCTTATAAGGAAAAGGCTAATATTACCATTAGCATTTATGTATATTTAGTAACCATTTAACAAATTAAATCCAGCAAGGGTCTTCTGTCCTTACAAATCTATGATAGCCCACACCACTCTCAATTTCCATAAGGTGGTAGTCATATAAAATACAGTTTATTGTAACCAAATTATGTACAATAATGGATCATATGCAATATAGATAAACAATTCAACTAGAAAAATTGAAAATAAATACAATGTATCTAAATACAAATTAGAGACATGTAATAATAGATCATTCCATCTTAAATAAATCGAGAATGTTTTGCGGCAATTTTTAACATCAACATCAACTTGAGATTTTTGTTAAAAAGTTGAATAATTTAAATTTTGAACATTATGGATAAAAATACTGTATTTTATATATAGTGTTTTTGCAAGACTTGGCATGGGCAAAATAAATTCAGGGATGTGAACGAAAAAAAAAATGCCAGAATGGTATCAAAATACGCGAAAATTTTTCATCCTTTGTCAGTTGTGCTTAGTTTAATTTGTAACTTATATAAATGTGGGTAGAAGAAAGCAAATTTTGATAAGATAGCGAGGCTCACAAAGCACTTCACGAGGCCTCTAATCAGGTTCATATCCCTCCCCGCCGGTCTTGGAGTTCGAGGGTAGTACGCATCGTCCCTGGCTACGTATATATGTATATTTGGATGCGTGTTATAGATTTGTGTGAAATAGCCGTGTGATGTATATATTTCTTCCTCCTAGACTAGTGCAGCACAAGGCTATCCTATTCGTAAAGATTGAACTCTATAAGAAAAAATAAAAAGACTGCAAGACAAAATTGATAACTCTACCTTTACAGAAAGCGGCCAGTCCAATGAATATATGTACCTTGCGTATAAACTTGGAAGTATGATGTGGCAAGATTTTTATATCTGTGGTGAAATCTCGCGAGATTTGCAAGCATTTATTTTTAGATGACATTTTTTTTTTCAGTCTTTAGCTTTAAGTGTTAAAAGTCTTTGAACATCTGCGTTACTTTGTATAGGCTAGCGTAACAGTTATCGGCATGGAAAATGAATTCGGTGTGCCTAGTTCAATACCTGCTCGATTCTGTTTCGTTCACTTTGCGCTGGTGTTCCTGGAAAGGACATGAATCTATCTTCCTTTAGCTATGGGTTAAATAGCAGGGTAGACTAGCAACTCTTGCCTTGAGGTGCCAAGTAATGTAGGAAAAGGAAAACTCTGAATTCCAAACCAAGATGAGGCTTGGGCTCTGTCAGGCTGTCTTATACAAGAAACAACACTGCAAATATGACTGTAGAATGTGATATCTTTACGACGCTAATTATGTTTCTTTTTATGGAACCTTCAGATGTTTCTTTATGTTTTTTATGGAGTCTTCATATGTTTCTTTTTATAGAACCTTCATTTTCAAAGAGAAAAGTTTTAAAATTGTACATCTTCAGTTAAAGGAAATTAAGTTCTTCCGCCATGCCGAATGAATAAAAATCAGCGTATTGCTGTCAATATTTCTTTCTTTCAAAATGCCTGCCGTTTTCCCTTCTTTCCTTTTCCTTCTTCTTTCCAGTTTTTAAAGCTCATTCTTTCTTTCTTTCTTTTTATGAATTCCTTCCTGCTAAGTTGTTCTTACTTTCATTGGATATTTTCTTTTCTCTTTTCTGTTGAAACATTTTCTCAGAAATCTTTCATATTTTTATTCTTAAGTAAATGTTTCTGGCTTTCAAAATCCATTTTTTATTTAATTTATTTTGCGCTAAATATCTTAAAAGCAACAGGTATTCCTCGTATTTATTTTTCCACTTCCTTTTCAATTCGCTCAAGCAACAGCCGCGAAGGCGGAAAGTGAGACGAAAACGAGGCTATCTGGGCAGTTATCTGCTGGTGGTACTTTCCTGACGAGCATCTGTATGAGTAAGGATGATCACAAAGAACCGGCTGTATAGTAAAAAAAGATATTATTTTTAGTGGGTCGTAAAGAAACAATAGAGAAACAATCATTTCTGGATCTTTTATTTTCTTTCATACTGGAAAAACAGTAACGTTTCTTGGTCGCTTAGTAACTCTGAAAGACAGAGTTCATTAACAATAGAGAAACAATCATTTCTGGATCTTTTATTTTCTTTCATACTGAAAAAACAGTAACGTTTCTTGGTCGCTTAGTAACTCTGAAAGACAGAGTTCATTAACAATAGAGAAACAATCATTTCTGGATCTTTTATTTTCTTTCATACTGAAAAAACAGTAACGTTTCTTGGTCGCTTAGTAACTCTGAAAGACAGAGTTCATTAACAATAGAGAAACAATCACTTCTGGATATTTTATTTTCTTTCATACTGGAAAAAACAATAACGTTTCTTGGTCGCTTAGTAACTCTGAAAGACAGAGTTCATTAACTTTAATTAAAGCTCTACAAAAGTCTACTTAATGAGAAAACATGGGGAAATATATTGGAAATAATCTTCAAACGTACTGACGTAAGTTGAAGGTAAGTAAGTAATATATTCACCAGCAGTGCCCGTGAAAATTTCAGGGCTACTTTTGTTTTAAAATGCCTGATACTAACTGCCAGGCGAGTGATCCATTGTTCCTTTTCGGACTAGCGTTTTCTACTGATATGAAAAGGAAATATTATATTAAATCAGTTTCTAGGTCTTTTATTAAGAAAGTTGGTTCACTGTGTTGTGCTAGACAATTTTTTCCCGACAGGATCTATCTTGAATGTTTATGAGTCTGCCATGCGTCAATACATTGAATACTGTTGTCAAATCTGATCTGGAGCTTCCGCTGTGTATTTAGATATTCTTGACAAAATCAAAAAAAGAATCTGTAATCTTATTGGTCCTGACCTAGCATCTCTTATTCAGTCGCTTTCCCACCGCCGTAACGAGACTTCCCTGTGCCTTTTCTACAAATATTTTCATGATAATTGTTCTGACGAGCCTTCATCTTTGGTACCTCGACTTTGCGAATTGAAGCGGAGTACTCGATCGGCAGCTAGGTCTCATTTTACAATTGAAAATGCTAGATGTAACCGTAAGTTCTATGCTAACAGTTTCGCTCTTCTCGGTTGGGAAACTCTCTTCTAGATTCTTATTTTCCAATCAACATTGATCTGCAAAAATTTAAATGCGATATCAATCGTAATCTTCTGTCTATTTAATTTCTGTCCCTTTATTGTCCTCCCTCCTTAATAAGGATTGAGCTCACTAGTCAGTCGTAATGGATCCCACAAGAAAAGTTTGATAACCATTACACCACATTGAAGTGCCTCGTATATATATATATATATATATATATATATATATATAATCTTAAAAAGAGAAAACGCTGAATGGAACTCTACCGAGTAAACCACCTTACAAGAGATTGAAACTGTGGTAGTGTTCTATACAGCGTTTTATCTTTTTAAGTTCTTAAATTGCTGTACAGGTTTGACTTTTCTTACTTGAAATGGAACACTTTTTTAACGCGTACAATTTTAACAACTATTTTAGTGTTTGTTTATTTCAGTGTGTGTGAGCATATATATATATATATATATATAGATAGATAGATATAAATGACCCGAAAAAATATACACATATGGTGTACTAAGGGTAACTTTAAGAAGAGGTGGTAAAATCACAAGTCATCTTTTAAGCTAGAAAGTCTTAGGAATTGTACTAGACTAGCCAACCATGTGTGGAAAAAAAACGATTGTAAACTGGAATATTTAAAAAACAAAACAAAAGTCTTACAACAATCATAGTAATATCTGTAAGCTTTGTCAACAAGAAAAGTTAGTTATCACAAGATTTCCAGATCAATAAACCTTTTCAATGAGAGATCGGAAATTATTACCTATTGCATACATACTAAAAAGTTTCATTTGAGTTCATATGAAGTGGAATGAAAAGAAAATATGTATATTTCATTTAACCTCCAACCGATATATTTCCAATGCACTTGCTTTTACTCTCCTCCTCCTCTTCGCCTTCTACCATACCTTCTGTAGTGCGTTTATTCATTTATTTATTTATCTATTTATTTATTTACTTTTTAAATATAGCCTTAATGGTTGATTTTTTAAAAATAAAGCGTTAGGAAATCAATTAACCGAAATCGCCTGAATAGACCGAAAGGTTGAAACCAATATAGTGAAATCGGCTGACCTCTTAATTATTCATATATGTATATATATATATGCTTGTATTAACCAATCAACATCAGTGTTAAACAAAAATTAATCCATTTTCTTATTTCTTCTTTTTTAGATGGCTTCGCAGAGCAAATGGAAATTTTGCGCCATTGTGTTTCTGGTTCTGTCAGTTTGTCTTGTGTTGGCATTGACAGTCGTCATCATATTAAAAGACAGGGAAAAGAAAGAATTATTAGTAGAACAATGCACCGAAGGTTTGGCCACACAAGGCATGCCAAATCCAGACAAACCTCACATTTTTGCTGACCTCACGTCGAAAGAGATGCGTGCCGTGGTTCGTTATATGCGCAATCGGAGGGATTTGAATATAGATGACCCATCAAAATTGACAGGATTAAACATCAGTTATATAAGTAACATCGAATTACTACCACCAGAAAAACAACAAGCACTTGATTATCTCGAAGGTAGAGGTAAGCAACCTTTGAGAAGGGCAAAAGTTACCCTTTTTCGCGGTGACAAAGCAAATCCTGATGTGGAAGAATACATAGTCGGTCCGCTACCTAATCCGTCACACGGTACTCTGGTGAGAATTGTACCCTTCGCCTTCCGACCAATCAGCGGTTTAGAAAGTCTCGCGATGATAAATATCGGAATAATTATTGAACGGAATTTGGGTCGAATTTTGCATGAGAGTTTCGGCACTTCTTTCATAAACTGTGGCTCACAGTGTCTCACAGCATATGTCATGACACCAATGTCAACAGCGATTTCCCAGAAAGAGGAACGAATGATTTGGCTTTGGGTGGCTTATAATGTGGAGTTCATTTCTTTACACCCAGTAGATCTCAATATCTTAGTGAATTTAACGGGAAATGATCCCTCGAAATTTTCAGTCGATAAAATATGGTACAACGGGCAGCTCTTTCACTCACTCACAGAATTTGTAGATCGTTATTCCACAGACTCGACTGTGAAGAAATTAAAACTCACTTTTCCTAAAAACGATAAAAACTTGTTTTCTACTCTTAATCTCCGCGGTACAACGTTTCCGACTACGGGACAGAGACGACCTTATCAAACCGAACCGGATGGTAGGCGGTACAGTGTAACTGGAACGGAAGTAGAATATATGGGATGGAAATTCACATTTCGAATGTCGACGGTTAGTGGTCCCCAGTATTATAATATTCGCTATAATGGCGAAAGAATTGTGTACGAATTAAGCCTCCAAGAACTGGCCGTAATCTATTCCGGATATAACCCTGCTCAAAGATTTGCGGACTATTTTGACAGTTATGGCATGTATGGTAAACTTGTTCGGACATTGGTGCCTGGTGCTGACTGCCCTGAGCATGCGCAGATGATTTCTGCCTCTCATTACGATGAAATGACAGGAGATGCAACAACTAAATCGGTGAACGCATTCTGTATATTCGAACAGAATACTGGCATCCCACTTCGACGCCATCATTCATATTCTGTTTTCGGTGGCCGATTCTATGGCGGCATGATGGACGATGTTCTTGTGCTCAGGACAATTTTGACGGTACTTAACTACGATTACATTTTCGATTTAGTGCTTCATCAAAATGGCGCGATCGAGGTACGCGTGATTTCAACTGGTTATATAATGGGTACCTACGCTACAGATAAAGAGAAACCGTTCGGAGCACATCTTCATGACCACATCAGTGGAAACATGCATCAGCATTTATTTAACTTCCGGGTCGATGTAGACATTAAAGGAACCAAGAATCGATATGAGACACTCGACATCAAATCCAGTAGCTTCCCGAATAGGGAATGGGGTCCAGAGAGGCTTTATTTCCAAACAACGTACAGCCGAGATCTAAAGACAAATGAGAAGCAAGCTGCCTACAAATACAACTTTGATACTCCCAAATACCTGTTGTTTAGCAACAATAAGTTCAAGACGAAGCAAGGAATTCCACGATCCTATCGGTTACAAATTAACGGGATGACAAAATCGGTTTTACCGGTAGACAAAAACAGTGAAAATAGTCGAACATGGGCACGCTACCAAATGGCTGTAACAACCTTCAAAGAAAATGAAACCAGAAGCAGTTCAGAATATGCTATGTATGATGGAATGAAGCCGATTGTAAGATTTCAGGATTATATCGACGATAATGAAAATATTGTGGATGAGGTGAGTCTCTCTTTCCGTCTTCAAATTTCATTTTAAGGCTTACTAATTCGACAAATATAGAAGGGGATAATTAGTGAAAATGGATGCTTATTATATCCCGTTTTCTCTTTATGATAATAATAATAATGGTAAAATTGAACGGTTCTATACAGAAATCACCTATATTATTGGTCCTGATCTGGCGTCTCAGCTTCAATCATTTTCCCACTGCCATAACGTACATTTCCTGTGCCATTTCTATAAATACTTTCATGGCAATTGTTCAGATGAACTCTTCGTTATGGTACTTAGACTTTACCAATTTAAGCGAAATACTAAATCGATTCACAGTTGAATTGGTTGGATGAAACCGTAAATTCTATGCTAACAGTTTATTTTCTATCACTTCACGTTTTGGGAATTCTCCTCTGTCTCCATGCTTCCCAGCCAACTTTGATCTTCAAAAGGTTAAATGGAATAACAATCGTTATCTACTGTCTTCTTGATTACTCACCTAATGTTCTCATTCCTTGATAATGTTTCTCTTTTTTCTTATTCTTTCACACCCATTGACTCTTTGTGTCTTAGTGGCTTTACTGCCTTACATGGAGTGATATGAATAAAAACAAAAAGATGAAACAATCGGCATTCATTGATTGATGGTTAGCATTAGTCGTATGCAATTTAGACAATCTTCCTCTTAAACCAGTTTTTCAGGAAATTAAACTTCTCAAGTTCACTATTATCACCCATTCTAGTACATGATAGGGGTTTCCTTCCTAGCCTTTCGTTTAAGGTAGTGTGGAATGCCATCATCTTGATTATGTCATTGTTTTCGCTTCTAGTTCTAGAAGGAGTGTGGAACATCAATATATATCCTTATTATCCCTTCGTGTTATGTGTATTATATTTGGTAGAAGTTGCTGCTGTTGGAGTCTTCAAGTGATATGTTTTTTTTTATTGTTATTTGATGAAGTTCCTTGTGATTCTGTACCGTCAATCTATAAGATCTGATGAATTAGTGTCTTCTTGAAGACATGAGGATTTATTCGCTTGAAGCTATTTTTAATCGTTGATCTGAGAACCTATTGTCAGGAGAGCGACGTATGAGAAAAGTAACAAACAATTTGTTTGATATCTTCGTGTACAAGTACAGATAGGAAGAAATTTCCCTTGACCTATTAAACATTCTCTATATTATAAGATGGAGGCACACTGGTGTAATAAATTGTGGTTCGAACTGAGAAATCAGAGTGCCGAATTCGAATTTCAGTCGAATTCAGAACATTCCCTTACCTGTTAATACCCTTGGAAAAGGTAGGAATCCATCACTTCTCTCCTCTTCCACAATGGGTAAATAGCAAGACAGTTTGGGTCCTATAACCTTGAATGGCAACCTGTCTAGGAGAAGGATACATCCTGAATTCAAAACCAGTATGGAGAGTGTTGGGCTCCATCGGGTTATCTTGCCCAGGAAATACCACACCTACTGCCGTGGCAGCACATTTAGTGCTCCAACGATCTTAGAAGGTTACAGGTTAATAAATGCAATAGAACTCATAAGAAGTGAATAGTTTCAATAGTATTGTTACAACTTTTGTTGTGAATTAACCTTACTCAAATTTTTAGTTGATAGAGTTTAAAAGGTTTTTAAAAAAGAAATATGAAGTGTTTAAAATGATAAATCATTCATGAGTGCTAATATCATATCGTTGCTAAAATTCACAGATAGAAAACTCCAGGAGTCATTTGAGTGTTAAACGGACATTAACAGACCTGTATAATTTATCTGGATGACAATCATATCACTGAATTTCATTTTCCCGAAAACTGGCTTCACTGAAAGCATTAAACCGAATCCTCACTTCGTCGAATGGTTCACTTCATCGAATGGTTCACTTCATCGAAAAATCAAAACGTAGAAAATTAAAGGGAGATAACTTTTAAATTTGAATAATGCTTTTTAAAAATTATGTATCATTTAAAAATTACACTCACTGATTCAATTGTTCTTTATTTACTTACAATAATGAATAAGTGCGCAACGTAACTGTTCTTCTTTCTCTCTTCAACGTGGACCTTGTATCCGTAGCCCATGAAGAACTCAACCAACACTAAATCAATGTGACCAGCTGGAATCTGTTCCAGTTGTGCTGTCGAACTCTCAACAAAGTGGAACCCCGGACGAGGCTATGCCAAAGGGCAGAATCTCATTCGGGGAGGTAGACAGACCCGATCCAGTTTATACGGGGTTTACGGGGATTTTTTGACCAAGCCTACGAGCTCGGATTACCCCACACTAAACTCGGCCTTGTGCCACATGCTACCCCGTGGGAGGTTGGTAAATATTACCAACACCAAATCAATGCTGACTGAATATATATGTATTAAACAAAACAATTTTACAATGGACATAGACAATAACACTTGTGTGTGTGTGTTTGAACATTTGTGTTTGTTCTTTGGTGAATGTTCGTACGTACGTGTATGTGTGTATAATGTTCATGGCGTTTCCCACAAATGGGAAGACGCGGATCTTCTAAGAGAGCTTACATCGTAGTCGCTGAAATGAAGATTTTAAAAAGAGAACGAGGCGAGAAGTCGCCCAGTATTTATAGTACAGGGAGAGTGACCCCTAGTGACAATTTGGGAATTAAAGAGAAGCTAACTCCGACAAGCTTACTAAGTCAAAGAAGAAGCAGATGCTACAATTTTGAAGATTTATACAATTTTGACTAAATTTCATTGTTGCTTCTCATGGAACGCACATTTAGTTGGTTGATTTTGTTTAGTGGCATATCGGTCACTATGGGTTAATTAATGCCAAAATCTAAATATTATGTACGCAATTTTATGTTTTCAACTACAGATATTTTTATACAGAATTTTATATTTTCAGAATAAACGTATGTTTTTTTAGATATATAATTTAGAGGTGATAAAATGTACTGTTCGTAATTTTAAAAAAAATCTATCAAGACCTCCATTCTCCCGATTAGAGGTTTTGCTGTCGGAGGTAGTTATAGAATTAGAATTAATAAATACGCCTATGTAACAAGAAAAATATTACTACTTAAATTAAAGTAGCATCAATTCTGACGCTGTTTTGTAGCGGGAGTGACGACCCTAATGTTGCTGGCTCCCTGGGCAAGCTAAACTTCGGCGCCTTTATAAGTAGAATTTTTTTTTTAAATTTTCACGCGGAGAAAAACAGAAAATATAGAATAAGGAGCTTATATACAATTTAAGACAATCTAAAGAAAACATTCGTTATCTTACTGAAAATATTTTTCTAGCCTTCAGATCTTCAAATCATTTCATGACACTTTCTACACCTATTTTCTTTACAAGATCATTCTCTATTGACAAAATAGATAATATGAGTCGACGTTTTTTTAAGATTAAGATCTGGAAGATCTCAAACACATAACATGGCGGCATGATGGTTCCCCTCGGACTTGATGGCGCTCCGGGCGACTACCCGAGTTGCTAGTATCTTGAACCGGCCCTGGGTAGCGGTCCTATGTTCCAAAATGAAGTCTGTATGAAATAAACAAAATTATTATTCTTACTTTTTTCTTGCTATCGTTAACGTCATTCAATTACATCCTGATGAATTATTATAACAATTCAAGTCATTGTTATTCTGATGTTTTCATATCGTTAAAAAACAAGCAAACAAAAAAACAAAGAAAATATGTTTTTCTTATTACAGGATCTGGTAGCCTGGGTCACAATAGGAGTTCATCATATTCCCCATACTGAAGATCTGCCCATTACACCCACGGTCGGAGCGCATCGCAGCTTCTTCTTATTGCCTTACAATTATTTTGATGAAGACCCATCGATGGGGTCCAAAAACGCAATTCGCTTTGACTTGGACAAGAAAGGAGATCTCAACATTTACAGATACGGTATTTCAAATAAACACCAATGTGTCGCCAGACAATCCAAATTTGATGAGACCGCTCAGAAAAATCCTAATCTGGTTGTTCAAACTTTGGATAATGCTTTTTATTAAAATAAAAAATGAATCCTAAAAGTTATTGTAAGTTGGTGTGAAATACTTTACTTTTTAACAAAATAAAAATAGAACTAAAAATAAATAAAAAGAGAAATGTAAGAGTAAAGTTAGTCTTGATTAAATAGATCAAATTGTTTTCAAACAACTTTCATCAACATGGTAATTTATTCATAGTTTTAAACATCGCTCGACTGTCTCCCACCTCAGTGAATATTACATGAACTATTAAGACTTGTATCTTCATCGGTGTCTTTTTTCTTTGATCAAATCAATGCATTTTGACCGATGCGTTCTATAACTTTCCTCAAGTTGTATGTCGCATTTACTAATCTTTGAACAGAATTTATTATTAGTCTTCAATTTTTTTCTTACCCACTTTCGTTACAGTTCCACTTGAAAAGAAAATGAGTAAATTGAAGTTGTATCAATAGAGGACGTTAGCAATAAATAAACAAGAGATTATTTTAAAATAATGTAAATTTTTACGGATGCTCTTTTTCACAATCTTCAAGTAAATTAAATAAGGAAGAAGATTAAGCGATCAGTGCCTAAACGTTCCGCCAAAATTCAATAATTCTAAAAGAATTTAGCCTTTAGGTCGCGCCAAGAAATTCTCTGCACTATACATATACATGGATATTGAGGCCAATAACAAGCGGCGACTGTCTGTTTTACGCTGTACCCTCGATATCGTTATATATATATATATATATATATATATATATATATATATATATATATATATATACACGTTATTTTTATAGATAAAAATATCTAAGTAAATGCTTTGTTTAAAATAAACAGTATTAACAACATTTTCCGAGCTGAATTTTCGAGAAATTTCATAGAAAACGTGTGTCCTCCGACAGAAATCGAACTTGTATCCTACACGGAACTGTCATATAGCCTGACGTGCTATACCATTTAGCTGCAGAGGTTAAATTACTGTTTTTAAACTACAAATTCCCATGATTTCTCTCGAACGCTCATATCTGCTCGAAGTGTATCTTAACGTAAACAAATGACATTATATATTATAAAATGAACTAAGTCCGATAATTATTTGAATATATTTCACGGACATTCAGGTCCGTAAGTGTTGTTAATACTGTTTATTATAAACTGAGCATTTACTTAAATATTTGTATCTATAAAAATAAGGTATAAACAGGAAATACATTAAAATAATTGTCAATTTCATAATATAATATATATATATATATATATATATATATATATATATATATTTCTCTAAAACATATTTTGTTAAATAATATGCACAAGTTCCGTCTACCATTTTTTAAAAAAATTCAAATTCTTTGAAATTTCAGAATAAGTTATAGGTAAATTTGCCAAAATTCATATTAACTTTTATATTATATTATTTTTCCCCTGAGTGCGTTCAAATGTTCCATTCGTTTTCAAGAATTATTCTGTGTGTAGTTACGCAACTGGTTTTTAACTCTGGCGTTCTCACGTTTGATGGAACCAATTTCAACTCACTAATGGTGTCGTCATATAAACTGATTTTGTTTTTGTTTTTTTTTCATCCGTGACCGTTCTTTTTTTTTCAGTTTGAGCGTTTATATGACGTTACCCTGAATGATTTGAAATTGGTTCCACCAAATCGAACCTGTAGTCCTCGGCCGTGGTGATGGAACGCAGTTGGATAGCATTACTATTTTCCCTTTTAAAATGGGGAAGTCGTTGATATGGGATGCGACGTGCGGATACATTTTCGACCGGTAATTTGACCAGGTCCGTGGTTGAGCCAGGGTCTGTCGCCCGGGACGCAAAGATAAAAAAAAAAAAAAATGGTTAAATATTCTTCTCTTGCTGATAGATTTTTTTTTTTTTACCCCTGTGGCAGTGGAGACTTCAGGGGTTATTGGCCCTCGTTCGATGGCGTTCCTTCGGAGGATTGGCGCGATTGCGTCTTGATTAAGGGACAAGCCTCACGAAACGGAGTAGCTCTCACAGCGTGTCTTACTGGCGATGGTGCGAGGTAATGCTTTTTCCACCATTGCGGCTGGCAGAGGATAGCAAAAAAAAAAAAAAAATAAATAAATAAATAAAATAAATATCATTTTGTTTATAGTTACTTTTTTATAGAAACTTTTTCAATAACGCGGGAATTAAAATTGTGATTGAAATATTAAAATATATATATATATATATATATATATATATATATATATAGTCATAATCCAATTATAATCTTAGATGAGAATTTTGACATTGAAATACAATATTTCTTATGAAGATGGCTTATAAAGTATTTATAAACATTTAAACGCAAAAATGGAAAGAAGAATGAACGAACTAAATCAATTTTCTGTAAAACATGAAATCGATATATATATATATATATATATATATATGTATATATGACAAAGTGGAAAAGATTTTCGTGCAACGCGTTTCTTCCTTTCCAGACTAAGTTTATATTTACATTGAGGCTACTACACATGCTCACGAAGGAAATCATGATAGAATTTTAAATCTTAATTATATGTTTTTTGATAGTTTGCTTTTTAAATATATTTTGGGTATATAATCATGTCGATTTCATTTAGAAAAAAAAAAACTATTTAAGTTTAGAATTCTCAGCGTCCCTTTTACTTCGCGCGGATGTGGAGTCGTATCAACGTAAATATCAATTTAGAGTTCGATGAAGCCATAAAAGATGAAATGCATCAACACGAAAACATTTTTCCCTTTGTCTTACTGTTTTTCTCTGAAATTGTTCTTGATATATAAAAATGTATATATTTTCCCCATATATAAGCAATTAATGGATTTAAAAGAAATTATATTAATAAGAATTAAAATCGAATTGGATTTTGCTTTGTTGTAATGATTTCTTGTAGCCTAATGGTAAAGCTACCTTCTCCTAGAAGGTGATTTTTTAGGTTAGAAAGTGGATACAGGTTAGCTTACTGTGAGGCACATTTTTTAATACGACTTTCGAATTCTAGGCATGTAAATCTTAAAAAAATGGATGTCTACTCAAACTCCTGCATCCATTAAATGTAACTTTTATAATAATACTATATATTATCATATGTTATTTTTGGAAATTGGGTGTATTTTTTACGAAAATGTTAACATCGAATCATTGGATACATATTTCTGTAAGCTTGTAAAGATTTGAATGCAAGAGTAAAAACGAATAAAATAAACAATTGTGTCTGAAAATTTGGCTGGATGTAAATTTATGCATTAAAATAAAAGTATTCTTAAAATGAAACCTATCCTGTTTTTATTTTTTATGAAGCCGCCCTTCGGGTAGACTACCCTAGCTCATGTGGAGGGATTTGGGGCTTTGATCTTTTGTTTTCAGCGTCCTACGTACGTAAACATTATAAGAATTTAGAAATAATCAAATTATTTTATCTTTATTTGACACTTTAATTCAACATTATCTTTCTTCTTATATGCAATCGCACTCCGTAGATTTATTTTGCATGCAATTTTTTTCTTTTAAAATCATCATTTTTTATGATCCCTTCACATAGAGTCAATCCTAAAAGACATTAGGGGACCCGAACTATGTAATATTTCAAATACATCACAGTACATGTGCTAGAAAAAGAAAAGAAAAATCATATGAGCAATATATCGTGTAATGTAATGTGTTTTAATTACTGTTTAATTAGTGGATATAAATTGCGATTACGACGAAAAGCAAAATTAAAGTTAAACCTTTAATAAAGAATTGTTTTTTTAAAACCTTTCACTTTGTTCGATATTTCAATTTAACTTTTCATGAGTTATTTATTTAATTTTTAATCGCGTGTAATTATAGTAGTTACTGCCTGTTACTTCAGATTGTTTATGATTCGCCGAGTTTGAAAAACGGACGGACGGACACACGTACACTGTGCTTTATTTATATAGATTGATGAATCTTTTAATGATTCGACATCACAAATGACCTTACATACTCAGCGATATTGGTCCTGGCATCTCAGCTTCAGTCACCATAATGTAGCTTCTCATGCCTTTCTATAAATACTTTCGTGGTAATTGCGATTAACTCTTCGCTATGGTACCCATATTTTATGAATTTAAGCGCAGTACTAGACTGGGGGAAAAGTTTCATCAATTACCAGTTAAATTGGCCAGATGTAACCGTAAGATCTATGCTAACAGTTTCTTTGCTCAATCTTCTCACCTGTGGAAATCTCTTCTGGTTCCATGCTTTCCAACTAACATTGATTTTTCAAAAATTTAAATGCAATGCCAATTATTACCTACTTTATTGATTACTCTTCTATTCTTCTCGCTCCTTAATGTTTCTTTTTTACTTATTCTTCTCCAATCAGTAATCCCTTGTATCTTAGTGGGTTTATTGCCTTACATGGATGAAATGATTAAAAAAAGACATAAACATTCTCAAGCTAATGCATATATTTTACCAGGGTGCATCGTTACCTTCGCAGCCTGTCACATATTTACTGGTTGAATTTGATATGATATTTTCACTGTATAATATTCGAACTCATAAGACCTGGGTTCGAATCTAACCATAGACGATTGGCCAGGGAAGTGTTTTTTATGATGTTATCGGCTTAGGGACGCGAGTCCAGCGCGCAGTACCTTTGAAAAGTGTCTAAAAGCCATACTACAGTTTGACCCAAGTCTTGCAGTCAGGACCGGATTATTCTTTAGGCTAGTATAGGATGAAGCCTTGGGCCTCTGAAGCTTTTATAAACCAATGATTTAATTTTTGTAAGTGTTATAACTTTTAAATAGTTTCATAAGCTGAAATGGTACCATTTGTGAGTTCGATGTTCACCCAGTGAAGATCGAACTCACTATTTTGTTGTAAATGATTTAGCGAGACATGCTCGCAAACCATTGTACCATGTCGAAGTGCCCATATGATATTCTGAGTCTAGCTTAGATGTGACAGAAGGCCAGAAGTGTGAAGCACCCAGTGAGGATCGAACTCATTACTCTTTCGTAATTGATATAGCGAGACAAGCTTTCTA